TGTGGTGGAGGACCTGTGTGTGTGTGTTGTGGTGGAGGACCCGTGTGTGTGTTGTGGTGGAGGACCTGTGTGTGTGTGTTGTGGTGGAGGACCTGTGTGTGTGTTGTGGTGGAGGACCTGTGTGTGTGTGTGTTGGCTGGTGGAGGACCTGTGTGTGTGTTGTGGTGGAGGACCCGTGTGTGTGTTGTGGTGGAGGACCCGTGTGTGTGTTGTGGTGGAGGACCCCGTGTGTGAGGACCAAGTAGGGCAACTTTTTCAGCCTTAAAACTATAGCTACTGATAATTCGTTAACACACTGAGTAGAATTGGTTAGGTTAGGTTAGGTTAGGTTTGGTTAGGTTAGGTTAGGTTAGGTTAGTAATGATAGACAGTAAGAGAGGGAGAGAGACAGAGAAAGAGTAACGTGTTGTGTGTCTATATGATACGGAGGTTTTGGGCGAAATTGGTTATTTTGCAAAATTTCCGGCATGCATATTGGTAATTTTCCGAAATGACTTACAAACAAGTTGACCAAAGTTAAATAAATAAAAAATAGGACCACTTAACGCTGTATCAATCTACAAGAGCCATCCTAACCTAACCTAACCAAACCATAAAATTAGGTTAGTTTAGGTTGTGTATTTGTAACCTATTTCGCAAAATTACCTATATGCATGCCGGGAATTTTGCAAAATAACCAATTTCGCTCAAAACCTCCGTATCATATAGACACACAACACGTTACTCTTTCTCTGTCTCTCTCCCTATCTCACTGTCTATCATTACTAACCTAACCTAACCTAACCTAACCTCCGTATCATATAGACAGTAACGCATGTGTGTATGTCTGTGTACATGAGTGTGTGTTTGTCCAGTCTTCAATAGTCCTTATTTACTCATGAAATTTTTTTTACAATATAACTCTACGGTTGTTACTTGTGGTAGTGCGTGTGTTACTCTGATTATCTACACACACACACACACACACACATACCATGACGTCATCAGCACCTCCTACCACATCATGACCTTTCAATCTCAACTAGCATGACCTTGTGTCAATCTGTGTTAACTTATTCTATTACAACGACACAGTAACTCTGAGTTATTTTGACACTTATCTGCCCGGGAGCTTCTGTGATTACGTAATGGACCGCTGTGGTGTGTGTGTGTGTGTGTGTGTGTGTGTGTACCATAATCATCATCATCATATCATCATCATAAAATAGACAAGCTGACACTGTTACATGATCATAAATACAAAAATTATAAAAACATTTCTTCAATCGATTAAAAATACAATATATATTTATTTTTAAAGACACTGCGTTGATAACCTCGTAAAAATGTAGTACTTTCTCTACATTAATGGAACACAACACAGGCGTCTCTCCCTTTAACTTGTACAGTATGAAATAACAACTGTCACAAAATAACATAAAAGAAGATAATTTTTTAGTTGATTATTTTCGTTGTTATTGTTTTGTAGGTCTCAGAGCTGCTGTTGTTGTTGTTTTGTTGTTATTCCTTGTTAGTGCTGTTATTGTTGTTTTTAATCTGGTTGTTGTTGTTGTCGGCCAACTCGGGTACTTCACGTACACCCTCTGCGGTGGGAAACTACAACCCTCCTAACCAGACAGGTGCACCTCCCACACAAACTGGGAGTCACCCTCAACAGTACCGGTTATCCTAATTCTGTTGGTTGTAGCACTTGTGAGTACGTTACCTCCCACTCTTATAACTTTCTTTGACCTTCCTTTTTCACACCTCAATGACCCTGAGTTTTTGCTGTTCCTTAATCAGTACCAATATTCCTTCACTGATGATGCTAGTATCGTCCCCTTAGATGTACTGGGGCCACATACTCAAAAGCATTTACGGGACTGTATCTCTTTGTTTACACCGTAACGGGACTCTGTAAGTGAGCTGGTAATCAAGGCCGTAACTTAATGACCTCCTTAGGTGCTGTAACACGCTCAATCCGGAGAGTAGTCGCTATTTCCCCATTGCATAAAAATGTAATAATGTATGTTTAAATAATGGTTGTTAGACTTGTTTTATTATAGAATAATGAAGAAAATGTTTTGTACATTGCGAAGGCAAGAGCGGTACCACTCTACTACCAGCAACCCTATGACACGCAATTAAATTCTCTAGAAAATTTCAATTTATTTCTAAAAAAATACATTTGCAGAGATAACAAACTTTTTATAATAATTTCTCCAACATATGTATAAATCTGTTGATGATATATAAACGTAACTTAGGATGCCACTATTATGGATTTTAACCTCTATGCATTTTAAATTCAGGTTAAGTTAGGTAAGTCATGTTAAGGTTAGGTTAGGTTAGGTTAGGTTAGGTTAGGTTAGGTTAGGTTAGGTTAGGTTAGGTTAGGTTAGGTTAGGTTAGGTAAGGTAAGGTAAGGTTAGGTTAGGTTAGATAAGGTAAGGTAAGGGTTAGCTTAGGTAAAGGTTAGGTTAGGTAAGGTAAGGTAAGGGTTAGGTTAGGTAAAGGTTAGGTTAGGTAAAGGTTAGGTTAGGTAAAGGTTAGTTTAGGTGGTTAATATATAGGACTAACCCGCAAGCAAGTTTTTTTGTATTACAGTTTATTTTCTTAAGTTTATTTTCATCAGTGAGTTCTGATATGGTAATCATTTCTTGTGCAAATGTCTCGTTTTGTAGATAATTAGGCGCCTAGGCACCCACTAGTTGTTCTCCCAGCGGTAATGAAGCTGAGCTCTGCTGCGGCGCTTTTCCCCGGGCTCGTGGCAGTTTCGCTTTCAGCATGACTTATGAGGGTTGTTGCCTGTCTTATATGAACGTAATTTGCCAATTTAGGGATAAAGACAACGAGACCCTTCAATTGTTTAATCACAATGGCATTGTTCATTTAAATAGAGACTGTCCACACTGCGGGAATCCCTGTGCTTTCAGACCGGTAAGAAGTTTGTTTATCACTTCCTCAACGCTCGACGTTTTCCGCCATCACAATAAATCATTCCGTCGCCTGGGGTGCATAAACGCCGATGCAGCCGTATCAATTCACATTCAGAAAATGCCTTAAATTTTACCATATCATAGGAAGTTCTTTCTGTTTAATATACTGGGGTTCCGGGGGGGGGGCGGGGGCAAAGACCCCCGGTATTGAAGTTCGGTAAGGTTAGGTAGGTTTGTTTGGTTAGGTTGGTTAGGTCTGTTTTTCATAGCAACAAATGTTAAGTTGCCTTTTTTTTAGAAATATCCATTTTTTACACATTTGCACAAACTACAAGTGTCCACTATAAAAAAAAATCAGTGAAAATCCGGAGTTTATATATTCGTTTTCGCTCATTTCAGCCGCGAGTTAGTCCTGAAAAATTGTTGGTTAGGTAAAGGTTAGGTTAGATTAGGTTACGTTAAGTAAAGTTAGGCTAGGTTAGGTAAAGATTAGGTTAAGTAAAGTTAGGTTAGGGAAAGTTACGATAGGGAAAGGTACATTTCAATAATTTTGTGGCCAAAAAAAAGCAGTCTTCAAACGCAAACAAAATACTAAATTCCTCGGAGTTATTGTTGATGAGAAACTTAGCTGGAGAAACCACATACAAACCATTCACAGTAAAGTCAATAAACAGTGCTGTATCATGTATCACACTTGACAGTCACTCACTCTCACAGCAATGAAAGAAATCTATTATGATCTTGTTTACCAACATTTGATACACTGTCACATACTATGGAGGTCTCTGGCTCTTCAAAAACACATCCCCTGATTACTGCTCAGAAGAGAGTTGTGCGGACAATGACCTACTTGAAAAAAATGATCATACTGACAAATAATTTGCTAAATCGAAAATGTTAAAATTCAAGGATATTAACACCTACTGCTGTGCCCTATTTGTTTACAAATCTGTCAATAAGTTGATTGACAATAATTATTTCCAGTTCAGGAATAATAAAAAATACATCTTAAGGCACCCAGAGCTATTAAGACCACACCCCCATGCGTTCCTCTCAGTCCCAGACCTCCATAAAATATCATGGTGTGAAGGTGTGGAACAACTTACCCCCACCCATTCGAGCATAGACTACGCTCCCTTCTTTTAAATCATCTCTTAAAAAATATTTATTGTCTTCGTATTACTATTCTTGTAATGCCTACTTAATATGCCTGCTGTATTGTACCGCTAAAACCAATATATCATACTCTATCATGTAGATAGATAGAAACTACCATTGCAATAATTATAATTGCCGACTAGACCTGATATTGACAGCTCTGTCCTCTTGTTCCACCTTAACACAAACCATGCTGTACTGCTTCCCTCCTTTATCATATCTATGTATATTAACAACACTGTAAAATATGTATATACTTGTAATATAAATGTAAAAATAAATAAATAAATAAATAAATAAATAAATAAATAAATAAATAAATATTGAAGTGATAACTGTGGTAACATTATGAGATGTTCTTATTACCACCATGCTATTGTACTATTCCAGATGATACTAAATGTTATATAATACTTCCTTGAGATAAATGTATAGTATATATCAGGTGCCTCAAAGAGAGCTCAGGTTCTCAACTGGCTCACCCATGTTAATATTGTTATTATTATCTACTCTGTATCTGTTTTTCTGGCTAAATAAACTGTTTCAATATCAATACGTTGTTGTCCTTGTTCTTATTATTGGCGTTATTGTTGTTGTTGCCGACGGTCTTGTTGATAATTATTTTTGCTTGTTGTATTTACTCGGATATTTAACATCTACCCATCTCAGTTTTCCCCCGAATTTATTTGTTTTGTTAAATGTTCAGTGCAAAGTATGTTTATTATTAGTAGTAGTAGTAGTGTTGGTTATATTATTATTATTATTATTAGTAGTAGTAGTAGTAGTAGTAGTATTAGTAGTATTAGTAGTAGTAGTATTACTATTATTATTATTAGTATTATAACCCCGCTGTCTCCCACTAAGACATAAACAAAACATTATCTCACAGTGCGTAATCCTGGCCTCTCTCTTCCCGACAGAGTT